CTGTGATATTATTACAGGAGTATTAGTTTGTTATTGGAATCAGCCCTACCATGTCTGGCATTTGGACCACACCCACAGTACTCAAAAACCAATATCTTAAGTATTAAAGGAACCACACACTCTAACTATGGACTACATGTTGATTATATGGACAAGGTATRGATTACTGTCTCTATAGATAGTTGATAGTTTGTAGTTTTGATCCTAATTGCTTGAGGGATCACAGAGAGGCATGGGGGTAGTGGTCCTACGTTTTCCTAATATTTCTCCTACATTTTCAATTCTCAGCTTTCCACTTTAAGTCTAGTATATCCCATCCTACTCTATTTTCCAATTGTGTCAACATGTGTCAGCCACACAATTACCCTCTTTTCAACTTTTCTCTTATATTTATTTATGATTTTTTTGTGTGGTTATAATGTGTTGCAGGTTTATAGACCTTTGGTAAAGAAGTTTGGATGTGACTTTACAGTGGAAATAAGAAAAAAGTAGTTTGTATTATTGTTACAAATTATTCATTGTTTAATATTAATCTTAGTTAATGGACCTTAAATGTCTAGATGTATTTGTGAAGCTTCTTGATCTGTACTTTGTTTCATTCTTTTCAGTATGGTTACTTTCTCTATTTGTTGGCAACATCAAAATACCACAGAATCCTGATTATAAGACCTCCCATCCATACATCAGAAATCCCCCCCCCCCCCCCCCCCCCCCCCCCCCCCCCCAGTCATAAGCATGCACCCCTGGTCATAAGCCCCCCAATGACCAACCTTGCATCCCCATAGCACATTAATTAATGCTCAGATTTAACCCCCTTGTTATAAGCCTACCCCCTTCCCCCAATTACAAAAACTCTTACGACATTGTATAAGCCCAGGGCTTAAAACTGGGATTCTATGGTATTATTAAGAGGGTTTTATTTTAGAATGAAACTGGTGTTGTTTGAAAGTTATGTTCTACAGAACCTGGGAAATTACTGAGCAAAGAATCCAGTCTTTATTATTATTATTTGTGTGTTTCTTACGTTATCCCAGGTCATACGTACCTCATTGGGATGGTAAAGTCATCTTGCGCAGTCTTCCCTCTCCCCAGCTGAGATCAGTTTCTTTAACTAATTGCGGAACCCTAACCAAGATTTCAGGATGGTCTTTTGTTGCAGGGTCAAAACCAATCAGGGTAAGTTGAAACAGTACTYAAATATCCTCTGATGTCATGCTCTTCAGTCTAATATATATTTTATTTTAACACAGGTAGCCCAACTCATGTCTAAGAATCTATTTTCACAACTTAAGAARAGATTTCCATCTTCTTTGATTAATATGGATGCTACAAGAGATCGTGACAGTAGAAGTGAAGGGAATGGACAGGGAGTTTTGTGAGTACTGCATGACTATTAGCTAACTTCTGTGCCCTCAAGATGATGTTGATGATGGGGCTGATAATGTATAATGATGGTAATGGGGGTGATATTGCATGATGATGATGTTAGAGGTGATGTTGCACAATGTTGATGATGATAGGGGTGTTGATGCATCATGATGATGATGATGGGGGTGTTGATGCATGATGATGATGATGGTGCCGATAATGTATAATGATGGTAATGGGGGTGACAGGAGTGATGACAGTGATTGTAATTGTAATAATGATAATTGATGATGATCGTGATTATGGTGATGATGGTGATGATAAAGATATTGATGATTATGATGGTAGTTATGATGTACAAAGTGGTCATTATTGTGGTGGATATGATGATAGGGGTGGTGATAATGATAGTGATGATGGTCATGATGATTGATGATGAAGCAAAGTCATGAATCATGAAGATGATAGTAATGATTAATATAAAGATTTAGATGATGATGATGATGATGATGATGATGATGATGATATCCAGCATGATGTCATTCGAGTCTGTGCAAGAAAGCTATCATTTTTATTCTAGGATTTTAGGGGAGACCTCCACAGGACTTGTATTAAGTGGAACAGYGTTGTGGCAAAAAGGTGCATACAGTGATATAGACTACTGCGGATATGATTTCTTTACTTCTCTCTCTGCAGCCCCTGTCGAACTGTCTGTCTTTCTGTCACCATTYGTGTATCCATCCATCTTTCTGTCATCTGTCCGTCAATGTCTTACTGTCTGTCACCATCCATTTACTGTCTGTCTATCTGTCTGTCTGTCTTCTCGCTGGCCCTTTTTCTTCCATTGTTATTTGACTGTATGACTAATGAAAGTCAATTCTTTTTCCCCTTATTTATTTATTTCCTCTCTTTCATTTTAGGGATGCGAAGTGAAGAAGTAGTGGACAGAGCATTAAATATGTTTCTTAGTAACATAGAAAGTGGCTCTTGTGTTGATGAACAACTCCAGGATAAGGTACGTACTGTACAGCCAAGTGGTGCCGGGTCATGTATGTCTTGTTGTACTTACAGTACACTAGATAGTAACAGTAGTAACACTTGCTYGTATTTGTATATTTTAGGTAGTTCTATTGATGGCGGTTGCTTCAGGTCGGTCTTTTCTTCGATGTAGTTCAGTTACAGCAAGAACAAGAGCCGCTATAATGGCTATAGAAACACTCTCTCAGGTACTGATCCTCAACAGCAGGGTTTTTTTTCGCCCTTTTATCTTCCTTTTCGTTTCATTTCAATTCATCCTCTGTTCACTTGGTTAGATTGCTCTTCTTCCTTTCACGGTTCTATAATATCTTCAGCTGTTACTTTACAAACAGTGTTCTTATCGACTTGACATCATTTCTGTTTTCAGGTTCGGTTCACAATTACAAAGGATACTGATTCGCGGACGACTCTCATATCATGTGATGGYCTTGGATTAATAAATGAAAACTGCAACGAACTGTGAACCTGGTCAAATATAAGTAATTATCAAAAACTGCATTCCAAGTGACTACTGACATCTCGTAAGGTCACTGAAAAGATGGAAATATTTCGCAAAAAAAGACTGATGAATAATAAATTTATGATACATGTTTGGTTATCGTCATATCAAGCAACGCTGTTTGCAAGCAACGCCAAAGGAGAAATAAAAAGCAATGCCAAAAAAACGTTTTCTAATAAATAACAGAGCCTTTATTTCAATACATGTCCGCCTTCTGTTAGTTCGTCTTGATTTTGACAACTCTATATGAACTAATAAAAAATTCATTTCCGTAATCAATAATATGGTCACATGATTTAGTATTGTATTGTCACGTGGGTTAGCATTGGCCTATCGTAGCATGGAGGACTKACATATAAGATCGTAAGTGTTTGACAGGATAGCAAATGCTTCATCTATAAATATAGACTACAACATCCTCCTCAAACTATGTACTGGTTTGTCGTGATAGCGTTGGCATCATTACTTCATCCTAGCGAGCAGCAAGGTACGTCCTTGATATATGTAATAATTGCAGGCTGATCGACACTAGAAAAAAACTTGACCTGAGGATACAAAATATATAATACTTGAAAGATAGAAAATATTTGTAGTGAGCATAATGTATTCGTACCTTGTGGGTGGCTTCCGGAACAAACACTGTGAAGTAACATCCAATATCACTTCTGTAATCCAGATGAGTCAAATCTAAAATACTAAAATCTTTTTGACTCTACAAATGTTTTACTCATTATTAATTTTCTTTTCTTTTTTGCTGGCTTCTTTTTTATTTAAAATGAATAAATTATTCAGCAACCTATTTTGATAACATAARCGGAAAAGAAAACTAGAGCTTTTTGTCTGTGCATGTAATTTTTTTCCTGGGAGTACGATCTACTGTGGTATAGAATCTACTATCTGTTCCTCACTGAGCTGGCCTAATTTTCCACTTCACTTTATCAATTYATTGTGAATACAAGTTCAATTTCCGCCCAAGATTTTTATGAAACAAAACTGAGGAGAAGGTTCATTTAACAATTGAACATACTTTAATTATTCGAAAGAACATTCTAGTTTTAATCATTAGACCTTTTTTTTCCCTAGCCAGAAGGCATCACAAGGCCAAAGGGTAGTGCAGTATTCGAAAGAACATTCTAGTTTTAATCATTAGACCTTTTTTTTCCCTAGCCAGAAGGCATCACAAGGCCAAAGGGTAGTGCAGTTTTCGTATGACTGTGAAAAGCTCAATACCGTAAGCGTCAGGTGCCGTGACCGTRATGCTTTCTAGAATTTTAATTGGCTGATTTTTTCAAGCGCAATGTGATTGGTCTGGCATTGCCGTGATCTTGGCGTGACCGTGTCCGCGCCGTRTTTATGCCGTGATCCGGGTATTTGATTGGATGGAGAGTAAATTCTCGTGCAATATGATTGGTCTGGCGTATCMCTTGYCGTGTCATGGCCGTGTTCGTGCCGTGAATTTTTCACAGTCAMACGAAAACTRCACTAATGCAATAASCAATTACTTCCTGTCAACAAAATATTTAGTTTTCATTAAAATATTTTATTGATAAACAATCTTTTCTTTTTTGCATTTTCTTTTTTTCTTTCTTAGATCCTCCAAAGATTTTGTTCCCTCCAACAAGTAAAACAGTAGTTGAGAGAAGCAATGTATCCCT